TATGCATGTATCTGTGTGTGTATGTCTGTAATGTGAGTATGCGAAGATGAAGCAGAAGTGGAAGAGCAAGAAGAAGAAGCACGACAGCATACCCTGAATAACTAACGCAGACGTAAAAGGCAAGAAAGAGAGGCGAAAGAGGGGCGACTGAGATGGGAATGGGGATGGGGATGGGGAGCACACAAATCAACATGACACGACCAACGTCAACAACAACAACAACAAAGCAACAGAACAAACCGGCACATTCAACTTCAACTCACACACACACGCAGACAGAAAAAAAAGACAAATAAGAAGAAGAGTTACATTGGGGCCTAATGCGGGGGAGCGAGAAAGCAAGATGCGCAAGAAGAAGAGAGAACCAAAAGAAACGAAACGCGTTAGCCAAGAAACGAAATAAATAAAGCAAAATGTACACTGAAAGAAAATAAATCAAAACTTTAAATAAATTTGAAAAATTAATTAAATTAATTATAAAAAATAAAATATATAATATTCTTACTTAAATAAGTTTTTACTAAAAAAGAAATATTTTATTTTTCAGTGCATTAGCCATCTAGCAAAAGGCTAAAATAAAATAAAAAAAAGAATCATATTAAAGCAAAATAAAATGAAAGCACACGCAGAGTGGACTGCAAATTCTCAAGGGAGGGGGCGGGTGGAGCGACTGTGCCGTAGCTGGACATGCAAAAAAAAAGATTCAGCAACTTAAAGCAAAAAAGAGAAACAAAAAAAAAATGGAAAAAGAATAAAGATTGTTGGGGGCGAATTCCCGGGGTTAAGACGAATACAAAAAAAAAAAGAAGAAGAAGAATAACGTGGAAAGTCGGGGGCAAGAAACGGGTCAATCAATGTGACAACATTGCCAACGTGAAAGAGACAGGGCTAATGGAGCCGGCGGTTTTTTTTTTGTTGTTTTGTTGATGGTGGGGAGCAGGGGGCTGGGGGCAGGGGGTGTGGGTTAACGTCTCATAATCCGCTTAAGATTCAGCGAACATCAGCGGGGCTTACCACGTGCTAGAACTTTTTTCTTCTTCTATGCTTCTTCTTTGGTTTTCTGTTCTTTTTTTTTTTTTTAGGTTACCTGCCAGGCACTCCCCATGCCGGGATTCTACAGATAGCATCTACAGTACTATGTATGTATGTACGTATGTATTTGTGTCTATTTTTTATCCTCCAGGTTACCAGCTTTAATATTCTGTCGTTAAGGACATGTTAGAACATGTCAGACCATGTTGGATTTAATATACATAGAAAGATAAAAGATGTTCTATAAGAGCATCTGCCACAAACAAAGCTTTCTTCAGGAAAAATTCTACAATTTTGGGAAGAATTTTGATTGCATTGTTCGCTAGTTGTTATGACTTGCAAATCGTTGAGAGTAAATAATGTGTGCATTCCGTGCCAGGTTCCATAGATAAGGCTGGGAACGAACGTGATTCCCCATTCCAAAGCCGTAATAGATGCGATCATTCGCCCGCTTATCGCACACACACACAAACACACATACATACATACATACGTAGATAAGCTTTCTCCCTCTCACCTCTCACCCCGCTCTTTGTGAGCTAATTCATGTCTGGTCGTTTCGAGTGTTGTTGTTAATTTTGTCGTTGATGTGTTTTTATTTAGATTTTTTATTATCGCGCATTCGCTTTTTTATTTTTCGGCTTATCACTCCGCCCTCCTCTCACCTACCTCCGTCGTCCGTCCACTTCTACCGTTTCGATCGCCCCCCCCTCCTCCTGCTCCTCCATTTCTCCCACAATTAAGTTGATGTGATCTTTGCTCGCCGGCCAATTCACAGTTAAGCCGTATCAGCACAAAAACATGTGGCGATAGAAGAATGTGGTGGGGGGGGGCCGGGTGGAGTGAGAGCGAGAGCGGGAGCGGGCGCGGGGAGAGAGTAATAAACCTAACCTGAATCTCCAACGGGTGACATTGCAGCAACACGAGTGTCGGCGGAAAAGGAGGATGAGGAGCAGTGGAGAGAGAGAGAGAGAGTAACAGATAAGGGGGGCTGTTTCGAAGAAAGAAGCCGAATAAGCGCAAAGTAGCGCAACTTGCGGTGACAACAACAACACCAACTAGAACAACAAACAACTTAAGTTACAGTAAACATAATTTTAAAATATAAATTAATCATTTAATATTAAATTATTTAATTTTAATAAAAAATGTAATCATTAAGTTTAATATTTTTTCTTTATCACATTTTTTTCCCATTTCTCTCGCCTATCAAGTCCCCACTGTAGAATGCCGGTTTAGCTTCGCGTAATCGATGCTGGCGTCGACCGCGACAGCATCTCCTCCCCCTTTCCCCCTCTCCACCTCTCTCTCTACCAACCGCTTTACGATCTTGTATTACGTGTTGGCGTTTTGCATGTTGTTGTCTTTCCACTTTTTTTTTTTTTTCTGTCTTTATTTGTGCACGGATCGGTTTGCTTCTTCTTCTTCTTGCTTGGTCCCCCCCCCAACTCAGTAATCAAGTCACAGTTCCAGTTCTCCCTCCCTCCCGCCCTTCCCTCGGCTCATCCTGTGTCCCACCCCTTCGGTCAGTGGCTCGGCACCCAGCAACAACCAGTTATAAAGCAACCATATACCCCAACATACAGTATGTTATATATCTTTTATACATATCTGTTATATATGTTAGTATGTATGTATGTATGTATGTATGTATGTTTGTGTATGTGTGAGAAGAGTGGGGAACCGGTTTCCTTTTACTGTCTTGCATATTTTTAGCAACAAGTTGAAAGAGTTGCTTCGCAGAAAAAAAAAACAAGTACAGTGAAGCCTCGAGAAGTTACTATTTTTTTTTATTTGTTTTTATTTTCTTATCCTTAATTAAAATTTAAAATAACAGTAATTTTTAATCCTTCTATCCTTTAACCTGAAATTACACGATCAAGAAGTATAACTGTATTTCAAAGGGAAATGATATGGGGTCTTAGGGTGTTTGAGGGGACAGAAGGGAATACGAAAGAGGTGGGGGGGAGGGCAATGAAAATGATAATGAAAACGTGTAGAAAGATCGACGACGACGGTGATCGGCATTCGCTTGTAACAAAACGAGAAGAAGAAGAAGAAAATGATAAAAATAAAACTTGGAGAACAAAAAAAAAAGCAATAAAGAAACCCCTTGCGGCTTTTGTGGGTGGGGTGGGGGGTGGCTAAAAAGAAGACTGGCGACCGCAAAGAGGCGCACTGCCGCTGCCGCTGCTGCTGCGTCATTGACGTTGGCAGAGGCGACGCCGCAAAACAATTGCCGGCCATTGTTGTCGTTGTTGGCGACCCCAGCGGCCCCATCGGCCCCAGCACAGCTCTGTCGGCGCAACGCAGACGCCAACGTTAACGTCAATATTGTTGATTCACTCACTTTAACCCCAAAATGTAAAGCATTAACGAATTCATGATAAGACTTGATAAAAATTAAGATTATTAAATAAAAATTATTTTAAAAAAAAATAATAATAATTTTTGATAATGATAATAATTTAATTTTAATTTATAAAAAATAGAGTATTTTTGGTTTAAAACTTTTCTCAAGTTTTTTTTTGTTTTTCTTAGCATTTTGCTACATATTTCTTTATGTTTATTGTTGTTTAAAGAAAAAAACAAAAAAAAAGAAGAAACAAAAAGCGCCCCCTCCCCCCCTCAGCAACGCCCCCCTCTTTTGGGGCGGACCAGAGGGAGATGCAAACACAATGGCCACACTTTGACCCTGACTTTTAATGTGTACATTTGCCGTCTCCCTCCGTCTTCTCCGTCTCCATCTTCGTCTTGGCCTCCCTCTCATTCTTCATCTCCATCTCCGTTTCTTGGTCTGGGTTTTGGTACCCCCACTCCACCCCACCTCGCATGCTAAATTATTGTTATTATTATGAATTGTTCGCCATGAATTTGTTTTTGCGATTGTATTTGTTTGTGTGTTTGTTTGTGTTTTTGTGTGTTTGTTTGTGGCAAACAGTAAAGTATGATTAATTGACCCGAGGTTGCCCGGCGCACTTTAACATATATTTTCCCAAAAAGCTAACCCTCTGATTACCCTTCCCCCTTTTAACTAAATCCTAATTTTGGTCCAAAATGAGTCAACTTTTAAATCAAAGACTAAAATAACGGGCTTTAAAATTAACTAACTAAGAAAATAAAAGTTTAAAGATTTTTAGTTGTATTCCCTAAAATATTATTTAAAATTGTTACCTAAACACTTAAAAAAATTTTCTATTATAGATATCTTATAGATATCTTCTATCTTTAAAAGGATATCTGTGCGTATACGTAACCTACTCTTCTTCTTTCCTTTTTCATAAACCAGGCGAAAAGTATGCTACAAAAATTTGAAATCTTCCAAATTAGCAAGAAAAACATTTAAATTTTAAAAGTACTTAAATATATGGTTTAAAATGGTAATATATTTAGAACTAATGGTTTTTTTAATTTGGGTTATTTTAAAGGTGTTTTTGTTTTAATAAAATTTATTCAAAAATAGATATAAAAAAAAACATTAAATGATATCTTTAATAAAGTTAATATCTTTTTTTCTTTGTTTTTCCACTAAAAATGTAAGCTTTTACTAATTATTTATTTAGTAAGTAAAAAAAAAACATTAACATAAACATAATATCTATAAATTTATTTATTTTACAGAGCTTTATTAATTTTTAAAGAAATATTAACCACAAAAATATATGAAAGTTGGTCTTAAATTTCTGAAATAAATCTTAAAATGCAGTCTTAACTATAAAAAATAAGTCTTAAAACATAGTCTTGATTTAAAACCTAACGGTTGTTAAAATAAAGTTAAAAACAAAACTTAAATTTTTAAAAACAAATTAAATTTTTAGAAAAAAAAAAGGAATATAAAATATATAAAGATTTTATAAGAACTTCCAATTCCATTGATAAAATAGTGTTATATATGATATATATATAGGATAATAGCCCTTATATATATAATAGGATAATAATAACCCCCTTAAAATCATAAAAATCTCTAAAATTGTATATATTCTTTTTATTAATAGGTATTTCGAGGGACTAGCACCCTGGCAGTACCAGGTATAACTAGTTCAAGTCATGCTTTCCTTAATACTAAAATAAAATCAGAAAACAAAAAAAAATGATGAGAGCCGAGCAGGTCCTTTCGGAGCAGGATTCCCAGGAGTCCTAGCAGACCCTCTCGATTGGCAGTTCCCCCCTAGGCACCTAGGCACCTAGGCATTGCGGACGCCGCGCAGCTCCTTGTCGGCCTTCTTCAGGGTGATGAAGTTGTTGAGGGCCTTGACCCGCAGCTTGGACCAGACCATGAAGTTGCCAAGGCCCAGGATGGTGGCGGCATGCAGGGCCGCCGCCTCAGGATACAGAACGGTGGCACAGCCCAGACCCGAGGGCAGATTCAGGCTGCTCCAGACATCCACCTGCATGTTGTCGGACTTCACGGGCGGACAGTTGATGACCGGATAGTTGGTGCTGCCCGATACGACGGGACCCAGGCCGTTCGATCGTCCCGCCACGGCCACGAAGATGAGGTTCTGGATGACGGACTCGTACTCCCGGACGATGCGCAGCGTCTCCTCGGGTCCCTTGTGGGCGGAGGTCACTCGGAGCTCGACATTGAGGCCCAGGGAGCGGCAGCTGGTGGCGATCTTTTCGCTGTGCGACGTGTCGGAGGCACTGCCCATCAGGACAACGACCAGGTGATCCTTCTTGGGGATAATATCGGCCAATTGCTGGGCCACCCAAATGAAGTTGCGCTTCACGGTGTCCAGATCGCTGGCCGTTACGGCCGTGAGATTCCTGTAGACCTGCTTGTCCACCATGAGGCGTTTGTCCCCCGAGGGCCACAAGCGCCACGAGTCGGAATCGATGATGTCGGCCAGGACTATGTTGCCATCGGCATCGATACCGAACTCCACCTTCATGTCGATCAGGGCGCAGTCCCTAGTCTGCCATGCCCGCTCCAGGATTTCAAAGACCAGCAGGGTAGTCCTGCGCATAATATCGACTTCATCTTGACCTGCAGGGAGTATTACAGTTAGGTCATGTGGGGCTGGTTAGTTGGGGCTTGGGACTCACCGATCACCAGGCCATTGAGCTCGAACTTGGCGGACACGATCTGCTCCTCGCTCCACTGGGGATCATGGTTGGCATCGTCCTTGAAGAAGGTCTCCTGCTTCGGAGGAGAGAATCTAAAAGAAAAAGAGGGGATGGGGGTTAAAGCAATAGGCTTTCTATGACATTAGCAATGTTATTCGGTTTCGGATTTGGGTTCGGATCGAGTCCGGTGGAGGCGCCTTATCAGCCGCCAGTCGTTGACCTCGACTCGATGCATCGATTGCACTTAAATTTGTTTACCACAAATCGGGCAAAATTCTCAAAAGATCAGATGGCGATAACCCCCGTGGAATCGGTTCGGTTACCAACCTATAGCCCTCCGGCACGCCCACGTTCCGTTTTAGGAAAGATCCGGTGGCGAGGCGTCGCGTTACCCACTCAATGGGTATCATTTGGCACTTGCGGGCGATGAAGGCCTTCGATCCGCACTGCTTCACATAGGCGGTACGAATACCCGCCTCGTTGAGGAGTCGGAACACCTGGCCGTTGGTGGTATTGGAGATCTCGGCCTTGCCCTCGAGATCGTGCGCCTTCACGCCATCCCCAGCTGTAATGCGATCCTTGCTCAAGAGCAGGCAGAGTCCTGGCTGTTCGGGTAGATCGTAGACCTGCTTGGTCTTGCCCTCGATCAGGATCTTGCCCAGTTTATAGCCTTCAACTGTCAGAGAGAGCGAGAGAGCGGTATTATAATAATCTTTCGATCTCCGATCTTGCTATACTTACTGGATGTGGTGGACATCTTGGAATGTTCTTTAAGATCACTGGCTCTCTCTTCCAATTTAATTCTGATTCTGGATATTCACGTGTTGCGTGCCTCGCTTTGTGCTTTATATTCGCGTTTTTTGGTGCTCCCACCCCACTTCTGTAGTACGTTCTCTCTTTGGGACTCTGCTCTCCGTCGCAGCTTGAAACTGACTGAGCGGCTGCAGAACCGCCGGCGCGACTTTATTGGCTTGCCCGGCGATCGCGTTTTCTTATCGCCCCACCACTACCATTGCCCAGATCGAGTATACGCCGTGTGTGTCGGTGTGTGCGTGGGCTTGGCAACATGGAAATTCATATACCCTGCAATTCTATAGGGTTAGTTGGTTAGTTTTCTTTGTTTTCTTTATTTTTTTACAAAAAGAATCTCTCTATATAGAATCTCTTTCGATATATTCAATCGATAGTTATCGATAATCTATGATATATTTTGATTTATTTCCATTTTATAACTTATTACTATATATTTTTAATTCAATTTAAAAATAGTGTATTTTTTTTAATCAAATGACATACTGACATAACGATTGTGTGTGTTTTTTTTTTTTCACCACCTAAGCGTTTTTCAGTCTTTTTTTCCGTTCAAGTCCGATTAGAGCCACCTCCCCACACGGACTGTTCAGAAAAGTCGAGAGATAATGGTGGGCGCGTCATCAAATCAATGGAAAGCTGTCACATCACATAATGTAAACAAAAATATTTTTGTTTTTGTTTTGCCCCAAGTCTGGGGTCTATCAATAAAATAAAAACTATTTCAACACTGATTCCTATTCCTGACACACACGTTTTCCGCAGGTCAAAGGTCGGCGGATCCCTACGATTATTCGCCTTCGCATTTTTGCATTTTCCATTTCGCATTTTAGTTTTTTAGCTTTTGGTTGCCAAGTGCACAAATCGCATCTAAATCATCTCTTTCTGGCTGTCAAAAGGCTTGCCAACAATTCGAGAATTAATTCGTATAGTTTTTTATACGCAAAACACGTCACAAGCGGAAAAAATAAGGACCGGAAAACTCTGGTTTTAGTTTTCAAGTTTCCCATACCACTTGATGTCTTTAAAAGGCGAATTACTTATTTAAAAGTACAGTTTATAGTTATTATAAAGTTATACTTAATTAACAAAAAGCTAAAAAACTGCATAAGAGTATATTTTTGTATATTTTTTTTTTATTTGATTTAAATCCATGTATTTCAAAACATTTTCGAAACTATTTTAACTGCTTTAAACTTAAGAAAACTTTTTTAAATGACTTGGAAACCTTTCTACGTTTCATTTTCAAATTTGGCGGTAATCTAATTAGCCATTTCACAAACCAATTCAGTTTTAGTAAATACATTTACCATAGAGATGGTAAATTTGAAAATACAGACATATCGATAACTTAAATTTTAAAGTACTAATCACCATCTCTAGGAGAGGCAGCCCATCTAGCCATTTTACTGCTAGATCCAGTCGCTAGAACCTTCTTTCAATAGCTTCTTGTCGGCCTTCTTCAGGGTGATGAAGCTGTTGAGGTCCTTGGCCCTCAGCTTGGACCAGACCATGAAGCTCCCAAGACCCAGGATGGTGGCAGCATGCCGGGCCGCCGCCTCAGGATTCAGGATGCAGCCCAGTTCCGAAGGAAAATTCAGGCTGCTGTTGGACTCCACGGGCGGACAGTTGATGACCGGATAGTTGGTGCTGCCCGACACGACGGCACCCAGACCATTCGAACGCCCCTCCACGACCACGAATATGAGGTTCTGGATCACGGACTCGTATTTCCGGACGATGCGCAGCGTCTCCTCGGATCCCTTGTGGGCGGAGGTCACTCGGAGCACGACGTTTAGGCCCAGGGAGCGGCAGCTGGTTGCGATCTTTTCGCTGTGCCTTGTGTCGGAGGCACTGCCCATCAGGACCACAACGAGATGATCCTTTTGGGGAATAATGTCGTCCAATTGCTTTGACACCCAAGTGAAGTTCTGCTTCACGGTGTCCAGATCGCTGGCAGTTACGTCCGTCAGAACGTGATAGGTCTCCTTATCCACCATCAGACGTTTGTCCCCCGAAGGCCACAAGCGCCAGCAATCAGAGTCAATGATATCGGCCAGGACTATGTTGCCATCGACATCGATACCGAACTCCACTTTCATGTCCACCAGGGTGCAGTTCTTAGTCTGCCATGCCCTCTCTAGGATTTCAAAGACCACCAGGGCGGTTCTACGCATTATGTCGATTTCATCTTGACCTGCAGGAAGTATTACAGTTAGGTCTTGTGGGGCTGGTTAGTTGGGGCTTGGGACTCACCGATCACCAGGCCATTGAGCTCGAACTTGGCGGACACGATCTGCTCCTCGCTCCACTGGGGATCATGGTTGGCATCATCCTTGAAGAAGGTCTCCTGTTTCGGAGGAGAGAATCTAAAAGAAAAGAGGGATTAGAAAAGGCATGGAATGTGAAAAACGATAATTTTCTTTGGAAAGAGTAGAGCTTTCAAGGTTACCTACCTATAGCCCTCCGGCACGCCCACGTTCCGTCTAAGGAAAGATCCGAAGGCGAGGCGTCGAATTACCCACTCAATGGGTAGCATTTGGCACTTGAGGGCGATGAAGGCCTTCGATCCATACGACTCAACATAGTGGGTAGAAATACCTAAACAAAGAAAAATACAAAAAATCGAAGGAACTATATGATAGCCCCCCCCTTATGTAAGCTCACCTGCCGTCTTGAGAAGTTGGAACACCTGGCCGTTGGTGGTATTGGAGATCTCGCCCTTGCCCTCGATATCGTGGGCCTTGACCCCATTCCCAGCTGTAATGCGATCCTTGCTCCAGAGTACACAGTGTTTTCGGTAGCTCGGGTGATCGTAGACTATCTTGGTCTTGCCCTCGTTTAGGATCTCGCCCACTTTGTAGCCTTCAACTATATAGGCTTTTAAAAAAAATATTTCGGGTGTTATTTTATTATATTTCTACTAAGATAAGAGGTGGGAATACGTATATCCCATACTTTTAACTAAAAATTTACCCTAGAATTCTATATTATTCCTTAGTTTACCTTTCAGATCTTGCTATACTTACTGCTATACTTACTTACCTCCGGAGGACATCTTGGAAAGTTCTTAAGGTCTCCGAAAAATGAAAATCTAAAATTCAAAAATTGGAATTCACGTATTGTTTGACCTGCTTGATATGAGCTTGATATGAGCGGCTGAAGAACCGCTGACCCGTTTTTATAGCTTGGAATTATCTAATCTCCCCGCTTTTACCATTGGCCGAGCATAAGTCGCGCGTGTTAATAATTTATGATATTCTTTGATGGATTTCTAGTTTTATTTTATCTTTGAAAACAACTTGACACTATTTAAGTTACCTTTAACTTAAGAAAACTTATTAAAATAACTTAGAAACTTTTCAAAATTTAATTATAAAATTTGGCGGTAATCTAATTAGCCATTTCGCAAACCAATTGCGTTTTAGTGAATACACTTACCATAGTGATGGTAAATTTGAAAAACTTTAAGCTAAAAGACATATCGATAACTGAAACGATAAGTTAGTAATCACCATCTCTAGGAAAGTCAGCCTTTTTAGCTATTTTCCTGCTAGATTCAGCTAGCAGTGTCTGCTGTTTCGATATTTTAATCGATAGTTTAGTATTTTGGCAAGAAAATACCAACGATACAATTATTACTTTTCATTGGACTCATCGCTATTTCGATATAAACCCTCCCGCCTGGCTTAAAACTTGGCCAACCCCCGAAAATCAGGGCCATTTTAATTTCGCCGCCACGGCTCTCTCTGGCACATTGTTATTTTTTTTTTATTCCTGCTGCCCCGTCACGGAGGCGACACCAACGTACGAATCGAATCAAAACAAATACGGCAGTACATACGGAACGACTGGTAGTGCCGCGAGTGCCGGACAAAAAAAAAAAGGAAAAACGGTTAAAAGTGAAATACAATAGAAAAGAAAACGTAATGCCATTTAATAAAATGCACAAGTAGAATGCCCCAATAGAAGCCCAAAAAATCAAGACACTATTAAGTGAAAGAGAAACGAGAATCGGGAAGAAACAACCCAGTGAGATATTGTGCTTTTTGTTGTTGTTGTTGTTCTTATTGTTGTGTTTGTTGTGTCCCGCAATTGTATTATATTGAAATTGCTTTATTTAATTGTATAGACGCGACGCTTGCAACACAAAAAAAAAAAAACAAGAAGAAGAAACCATTTATTTATGTTTTTTTTTTTTTTATTTATGTGTGGAATTTATTTTGCCGTGCGGGTTTTCGAGTGTGTTTTGTTGCTATTATCCTTGGCGTGTCTCTTGCGTGCTTTCCGCTACCACCCGCTCTCTCTCTCTCTCTCTTTTAATTCAACCCCCCTTGTAGTTTATTTTCTTAGTTTGCTTATTTTGTTTTCGTGCCAGATGTCTTGTCGAATAATATTTGCCTATGCTTTTAGCAAAAAAAAAAATGAAAGGGAACTAGACACAGACATTTATAAATCATTTATTTTTTCCCATCAATAATTGATCAAATGATATCCACTTTAGTTGTTGCCCCGTTATCTTTGTCTTCTGCACCCATTTCGCATTCTCTATGCAAATGCAGGTTTGCATTCTTCTTCTTCTTTGCCGTCTGCTGGGCGCAAATTTAAATTGATTTTTTTTCTCTCTGTGTGTGTTTTGGTTTTATTTTTTTATTCATTTGTGTTGTTGCGGTTTGTTGCACTCGCGTAATTGTTAATAATAGTAAAAAAAAAAAAAAAAAAAGACAAAACATACAATAAGAAATAAGAACAATAAGAAAAAGCAACAAACTCTGCCCAGCTCTCTGCATTCTAGCATCCTCTCTCCTGCTCTCCCGCTCTCTCTTGCTCTCACTTTGTTTGAAACACAAAACACAACAAAACAAGAAAAAAAGCGGTGCTTCTCAAAAAATTACCGTTAAATCCTTTGTTTTATATTAATAAATAATTAATTTTAATTGATTTTTTATTAAATTTTAAAAATCTTTTTTATAATAAAATTTTTAAAAATTTCTTAAAAAAAAACAATAAAAAGTGCTTCTAAAACTGTAATCCTTAACCCTTAAATGGCGGCCCTAATATCTCTTAATAATCAAAATTAACTCTTAATACTACAAAAAAATACAATTTTTTTTTAAACTAATTAAATTTAATTTAAAAAAAACCCCGTTTTATATACTCAGCCTCTCAAAACGCACCTAAAAGACTGCAATCTGCCTTAATCAAAGGATAAATATCAAAAACAAAAAAAAGGACGAGCAAAACAGACCAGTGACGAAAGAAATTCAACAAAAATGAGTTCGTTCATCGAACTTTTGGGACTTTTCCTGCTCCTGATGCTGCCATTTCTCTACGAAACGAATCATATATTTCGTTACTACTTCAAATTCCTCATCTACTATGGGATAGTGTCCTTTAACTCGATTGTCCTGATACCGGCCTTTCTAACACGTCCCTGCGATGTTCGCAATTTGTTGTGAGTTTTTCTCTAAATTCAATATATTTTTAATAATATTTTAAATTTATATTTTAGATTAAGTTGAAAACCCCCTAAAGTCACAGCTCTAATTAATGCAAATTACTGCCGTATTTTAAAATTCAACACTTTACACGTTTAACCCAGTTTACCCTACAAAACGCCATAATTTGTAAAGCCCATAAAAATAATATTTTTTTTTTAAATTGTTTTTAGCTGATTGATTTCTTTATCAAACCCCATGACTAGTTAGGGCTCTTGCCAATCAAATTGTGGCCTTTAATAATGCATTCGAGATTGATATTTGACATGGCTGTGAATGTAATTGGTGGTATCACGGTTTTACCATCATGACTGGTGGCTTTTTGGCCGTTTTCTGTTAATTTTTAATAGTGTATTTGTGGCAAGGCGGCTCACTCAATGACACATTCAACATTAATTGGCTATCAATATTAACACGGCCCCTCAATGCAGGTGGCAGGAAAATGTCCATTTTTCCAGGACATTTCAAGTCAATATTTAACGATTCTTTAACATTTTACTGCAAAAGATGACCTTTGAAACTATCGGAAGGCCATCGGAATAGGTTCTTTTTTTTTTTTTTTGTTTCCACTTCCATCCGCTAATAACCCCCATATAACCATAAACCAATTATGTGATAAATGATTTCTTCGATATTAATTTATTGCTCGATAAAAATAAGTTTTATTTTCTCAGTCTTAATCATAGAAAAAACATATATGTATATTGTTTGACGTCGTACTGTGATTATCTTGAACTGCCAAACACTGCCGATAAGATACATTTTTTTTTTCGATTTTCGATGCACAATTACGGATAATTGTTGCCTAGGGTCGTTTCTTTATAATAAAAAATTTAAATACCGATTAGATCACTGAGACAAAGGTTGAACAACCTGAACCTTAGTTGAACCCATTTACGATTTAATTACCTTTCAAATAAATACCTGAAATAATAAATACTGTGCAAAATATAATTTTAATAATTATAATTTGAAGTTTCTTTTTGTAAAAATGTAGAAAGAAATATAAATCAGTTGAGGATGTCATTAGGGGTTTTATTCGCTTTTTTTTCCAAGGACAGAGTCTAAAAGGGGGGTCTTGGGGGCTTCTACAATTCGACACGTGTGGCAGTTGAAAAGCCAAGGGAGCTGTTGCACGCCAAGGGGAATAGAAATCAGAAAAAAAATCAACAAAAAAAAAAGTATTACTGAAAAAAATAAGGTCTTACTTAGATATTATAGTTCTAGAAATCCCAGAGGTTAAAGAGCTATGGTTAGAGCTGTAACTTTTAATGTGTTCTTAAATATTATTGTAAAAAATACCTTCTTTTTTAGTTAGAAAACATAATTAAGGCAAAGATATAAGGCCAAACTTGAAGATATAGGCTTATGAGACTTACCATATCAAGTAGCTTTTTCTTGAGAAAAGTTCAAAACTGCTTGATTTTTCAAAAAAAATTTTTTTTAATGTATTTCTAGCTTAAATTTAACCATTACTTGATTTTTAGTTAGATTTAAAGCAGAATTTGTGAGATTTAAAAAAAGTACTTGCCATTACAGGAATCTTTTTCTTAAGTGACGAGTTCGAAACTATTTTTTCTTATCAACAATTTTTTTTTTACCTTTTTTTATACCTTTTTAAACCCCCAAGTAACTTGATATTTCAAGAACCTCTTTAAATAATTATTCCCACAGCCAGACCTATTAAATTACAAAAGATTACCATTTTTTTCAACCTGTATCCCCATTGCGGTTTAGTTTTAATACCTCTGCTCTGCGGTTAATGCACTTGCCAGCTCAAATGACATTAGACAATCTATGAATACTTGATTAAATATTAGAGGCTTGTACTAACAACTCACCTGAATCAATTATGCTCCACTCGAACTATTTAATGCAGTTTATCGATCGAGAAAAGAATACTTACCTGAGTGTACCCTGAGTATATCATTTGTTAGCCACACGGGCCTGTAATTACGACATGTCATGCCCCATATGGTATGTGGATATGTATATATATGGCTCCGACCTATCTGGCCTAGAGCTACTCAGTATATCAGAGCTATACGCCTAGTTGGGCGTTTCTCGGATTCAGAACTGGCTTTCAGTGTGGGAATTAGACTCAATTTTCAGTTAACTTGGCTAATTAAATAGTGTTGGTTGGTTTGTATAATTTTGTATGGAATTTATTTTGCAGATGGGCCAGCACTTGGTGCCATCGGATTTCTACGCTGATTGGCCTGCGATGGGAGCTGCGCGGCAAGGAGCATCTGGCCAAGGATCAGGCCTGCATCATTGTGGCCAACCATCAGAGCTCGCTGGATGTGCTGGGTAGGATCTCTTTACCCTCTTCTAATCTTAAATCTAATTTTTTATATATTTTTCTTAGGCATGTTCGACATCTGGCATGTGATGAATAAGTGCACCGTGGTGGCCAAGCGGGAGCTGTTCTATGCGTGGCCCTTTGGTTTGGCCGCCTGGCTGGCTGGTCTCATCTTCATCGATCGAGTGCGGGGCGAGAAGGCGCGCGAAACCCTCAACGAGGTTAACCGCAAAATCAAGCGGCAACGGATCAAGCTCTGGGTCTTTCCGGAGGGTACGCGACGCAACACCGGCGAACTGCATCCGTTCAAGAAGGGCGCCTTTCACATGGCCATCGATCAGCAGATACCCATCCTGCCGGTGGTGTTCAGCTCCTATGGGACATTCCTCAACGACAAGAAGAAGATCCTGAATGCGGGCAGGATTGTGATAACCACATTGCCCCCGGTTAGCACCGAGGGTCTGACCAAGGACGATATCGATGTCCTGATGGAGCGTGTACGTGTCCAGATGCTGGACACCTTCAAGTCGACGTCAGCAGAGGCGTTGCAAAAATACAAGCCCCTGAAAAGTCGGGGCTCGGGGACCATAAGTCGCGAGGAGGCAGCTGGAGCGGGTCCTCTGCCGGATGCTGCGCAAGTGGCAGCCGCCGCCGCGGTGGCGAACAGTCCGAGCGGTTACAGTCCAGCGGCCGCGAAGCCGCCCACCATGCTTAAGACGCTCTAGGTGGTACACACAAACCCACAACACCCCACACACTACTCATCCACATACCCACAAAAAACCAACACGGGCGTAGCTGGAATACCGCATTTTAATTTAAGATTTTAAATTTTTAACATTTTTGGGTTTATTTTGTACCCTTTTACCAATGGGTATTATATATTTTTTATTTTAATTTATGTTGAAGTTTCATGGAAGATAATTATTCAAAGAACTTGAAACTTTTAAAAATTAATAGAAATCTATACAATTTCGAATTTATATATTTTTTTTGCACAAGCCAAAGTTAATAAAAAAAATTATACTAGTCTAATTTTAAAGTAATTTAACAGTTTTTATTAAAATATAAAAAAAAAGAAAAAAATGGTTTTCTAAAGTAGGTTTTTATTTTATTCAAAAGAACACTTTTTAAAAATTAGTATTTTTATATTTATTTTAATGATTTTAAAGTCAAAAATGCTCTTTTTAGATTATTTTTGTTTGCAAAACCATTTTTATAAATTTAAGGTTTCTAGCTACACCCATAAAAACCAAACAAAATATATATATATATATCACATCCCAGTAGTTTGGCTAATTCAGGCACCAATTGAGTATTAGGAGCAGCAACAACCAAATTGCGACCGTCGACTGTCAGACTTTAACTTCTTCTTAGGCAACGCATACCAAAAAAAAAAAAAAAAAAATATATATATAAATTTAAAAAAAAAAAACAAGAAACAACATAAATAAATCAAAGACATCAAATTTAATCAACACTGTGCAACAGGGTTATGGAAGAAAAAAAAAGAACTCATCTAACGCGAAATGGTTTGGATTATTGTTGTGTAAACTATACCTAGAAATTTAGATATAGATTGTAAATTGGTCTCTTGGAAAATGTTTGCTGCAATAGTATTAAAAAAAAAGCAACAAAATGTATAAAAAGTAATGGAATAATCCAAACCAATTCGTTTAGGTTTTTTGTTGCCGTGTGCAATAATTAGTTTATTAAACCAAAAATACCTATAAATACTATAAATATATATATATAAAAACCGAAATAAACTTATCTTAAAGTACGATAAGTAATCGATTTTTTACAATCGATTTAATTATCCAACTATGCGTATTGAATTTGACTAGACATTCCCTAACTAGGTTAGGGCCTTAAACACACTCCCTATATCCCAAATCTAATAATAGATCTTGTTCCACTTGATCGGTTTCGATATCGTTATCGATTTAATTTTAATTTCTTTTTTTTTTTTGTATCACCTCATGGCATCTAAGGAATTTAAGGGATCTTTATAACACACACACACACACACACACCTATTTATGTATTGTATTCGAGTATATATATATTGTGAATTGTAATACCATCAGTCTGGTAAAGTGTTAAACTTAACTATTGTAAATACGATGCAAGATATTGCGAGCGATGCGGTTTACTTTAAAGACAAATCAAAAGACAACCTAAGAAATGACAAAAAAAAATGAGAAACAAAAAAAAAATTAAATACAAATATAATAAATATTTTTTTTAAAAAAAAAAAACATTGGTTTTAATTTTTGTATTTATAGTTGCTTGGTTTCTGGATTCCCCAACAATTGGACTACAATTTGGTTTCGTATCTCGAAGTGGTTTCTTATCGCAGAAATACGGATTTATGGCGATTTAGATTTCATTTTTGCTTAGCTAATAATCAAAGTGATTTTCCTAATCGATTTTAAATCGATATATCGCACATGTATATCGAAGAGAAAGAGAAACACATCACCACATAAAACATATCGAAACTAGAATATTGAGGGAGAGAATATCTTATCTTTTTGGAGAGCACGGATGACGGTATTGTGGAGCTCATCTTATCGGCCTGATTAATAGCTTCCTGGCCGATTTTATTGGTGCGCTAGTACCGCGCCCCCTAAATATAGAAAAAAACATTAAAAAGCATAAACAATGCACACAAATCTTATCGATACTTATGCAATCTTTGATTGCAGCTAACTTAGCGTCCGTGATAATGTATTTTCGTCTCCCGCTTCAGATAACGACCTCCGGAGACCTTCAACGGGTTCATTGTTCATGGGAATATGGTCTGATAATATATACATTTCTTTATTTTCGGGAGTTCCTCAATAAAAAAGCTATTGTCATTGTAAAAACATGAAAGGAGAGCTAACCCTACACGAAATTAGGGTCATTTCCGATAGTTCAGTAATATGGCAGCTATGGGATATAGTCCCATGGGGTATTCTCATCCGATTCTCAAGCGGAGTACCTTAAACGATTTCTGGATCGATTCTCCACCATTCTGCATCAAAATCCCGAGACAAAATATTTTTTAGATTTTTTGTCCATTTTTCTTGATGGGACCCCTTGAAAATGGGGTTTTCCCCTATAGGGCCCACTGGGATGGCTATATCTTCCCCAATTCTCATCCGATTCTCAAGCGGAGTAATTTAAACGATTTCTAGAACGATTCTCCATTAATCTGCATCAAAATCCCGAGACAAAATATTTTTTCAATTTTTTGTCCATTTTTCCTGATGGGACCCCTTGAAAATGGGGTTTTCCCCTATAGGGGCCACTGGGATGGCTATATCTTCCCCAATTCTCATCCGATTCTCAAGCGGAGTGTCTTAAACTATTTCTGGATCGATTCTCCACCATTCTGCATCAAAATCCCGAGACAAAATATTTTTTCAATTTTTTGTCCATTTTTCCTGATGGGACCCCTTGAAAATGGGGTTTTCCCCTATAGGGGCCACTGGGATGGCTATATCTTCCCCAATTCTCATCCGATTCTCAAGCGGAGTGTTTTAAACGATTTCTGGATCGATTCTCCACCATTCTGCATCAAAATCCCGAGACAAAATATTTTTTCAATTTTTTGTCCATTTTTCCTGATGGGACCCCTTGAAAATGGGGTTTTTCCCTATAGGGGCCACTGGAATGGCTATATCTTCCCCAATTCTGATCCGATTCTCAAGCGGAGTGTCTTAAACTATTTCTGGATCGATTCTCCACCATTCTGCATCAAAATCCCGAGACAAATTTTTTTTTAGATTTTTTGTCCATTTTTCCTGATGGGACCCCTTGAAAATGGGGTTTTTCCCTATAGGGGCCACTGGGATGGCTATATCTTCCCCAATTCTGATCCGATTCTCAAGCGGAGTGTCTTAAACTATTTCTGGATCGATTCTTCACCATTCTGCATCAAAATCCCGAGACAAATTTTTTTTTAGATTTTTTGTCCATTTTTCCTGATGGGACCCCTTGAAAATGGGGTTTTCCCCTATAGGGCCCACTGGGATGGCTATATCTTGCCCAATTCTCATCCGATTCTCAAGCGGAGTGTCTTAAACTATTTCTGGATCGATTCTCCACCATGCTGCATCAAAATCCCGAGACAAAATATTTTTTAGATTTTTTGTCCATTTTTCCTGATGGGACCCCTCGAAAATGGGGTTTTCCCCTATAGGGCCCACTGGGGTGGCTATATCTTGCCCAATTCTCATCCGATTCTCAAGCGGAGTGTTTTAAACGATTTCTGGATCGAATCTCCCCCATTCTGCATCAAAACCCTGAGACAAAATATTTTTTCAATTTTTTGTCCATTTTTCCTGAGGGGACCCCTTGAAAATGGGGTTTTTCCCTATAGGGGCCACTGGGATGGCTATATCTTCCCCAATTCTGATCCGATTCTCAAGCGGAGTGTCTTAAACTATTTCTGGATCGATTCTTCACCATTCTGCATCAAAATCCCGAGACAAATTTTTTTTTAGATTTTTTGTCCATTTTTCCTGATGGGACCCCTTGAAAATGGGGTTTTCCCCTATAGGGCCCACTGGGATGGCTATATCTTGCCCAATTCTCATCCGATTCTCAAGCGGAGTGTCTTAAACTATTTCTGGATCGATTCTCCACCATGCTGCATCAAAATCCCGAGACAAAATATTTTTTAGATTTTTTGTCCATTTTTCCTGATGGGACCCCTTGAAAATGGGGTTTTCCCCTATAGGGCCCACTGGGGTGGCTATATCTTGCCCAATTCTCATCCGATTCTCAAGCGGAGTGTTTTAAACGATTTCTGGATCGAATCTCCCCCATTCTGCATCAAAACCCTGAGACAAAATATTTTTTCAATTTTTTGTCCATTTTTCCTGAGGGGACCCCTTGAAAATGGGGTTTTCCCCTATAGGGCCCACTGGGATGGCTATATCTTCCCCAATTCTCATCCGATTCTCAAGCGGAGTGTCTTAAACTATTTCTGGATCGATTCTCCACCATTCTGCATCAAAATCCTGAGACAAAATATTTTTTCGATTTTTTGTCCATTTTTCCTGATGGGACCCCTTGAAAATGGGGTTTTCCCCTATAGGGCCCACTGTGATGGCTATATCTTCCCCAGTTTTCATCCGATTCCCAAGCGGAGTGTCTTAAACGATTTCTGGATCGATTCTCCACCATTCTGCATCAAAATCCCGAGACAAATTTTTTTTTAGATTTTTTGTCCATTTTTCCTGATGGGACCCCTTGAAAATGGGGTTTTCCCCTATAGGGCCCACTGGGATGGCTATATCTTCCACAATTCTCATGCGATTCTCAAGCGGAGTATAATACCCTCTACCCTCTATAATAAAAAGCGACCCAGTTTTTTTAAGCTATTGTGAAAATATTTGTATATTTTTGTTAAAATTTTTCCTGGTATTTAGAATTATTATTATAAAGTATGCATTACATGATTTTTGGATTTGCCTCTTTCTAAATTATTATTTTAAACATTTTTTATGACAGTTTTTCTGTTTTAATTCTTGCTTTTTGTCTTTATGATCATTAATTGTTTGAAGGTTTATCTTTTACTTTTTTGGTTTACTTGGTTTTGGATTACATTTGAAAATTGTCAAGTTATTAGTAGCATTATTTTCGACTTGGTAAGGTTGAAGAAATTGAAAATATTTCCTTTTCTATATTAATAAATGTCGGTAATAAAGTTAAACATTGCCTTTTTTCGGTCTCTTTCCATTTACCTCCATATCCTCCATTAAGAAGTCCTTTTGGATGGCATAGCGCTTAAGCTTAAGGGAGAAGTTTGTTTCGGTTGTCTTACAACACTGGCTATCTAAGAACTAAATTTGAACAGAAAATGTCATCAACACAAAAATATTACTTGTATTATTCTCTAAATAGTTACCGTTAGATATACTTATCGTTATTAGTTATTAATTAAAGCCAATTTGCATTTGTCAATCGATTCTATGTTAAAAATGTTAAGCGCGCTTTTCGATCTGTTCTTTGTTTTATTTTCCTTTTTAATTAAAATTTGTCATTTCCTTATCAGATACTTGGATTGATGTATATATATATGTATATATATATTTGTTTTATATCTGTTATGGATCAGTTTTGTATATGTATATACTTGTATGTGTGCGGGTGTATATACGCTTGCATAATTGGTCAGATGTTGTGGCAAATTGAATTGTACATTCAGTTAATTAGTTATTTTCATTCCCCATTTGATTTTTCTACTTGATTTTCAATAGTTTTTTACTGGCTTACATATTGATGTATATCGATTTATTTGTAATCGTTAATTTCTGTTTGTTGCAATCGATTATTATTTACACTTTTTAGTTTTAAAGCAAACAAAATTTCACAGCCGTACTCCTCTTTTTCCTCTCGGATTTTATATTCCCGCATTTAATATATGATTTTTTCTCAGTTTTTTTTTTGTAGTGATTTGGAGAAAAATGTATATCGATATTCTATCGATTATAATCGCTTCTATTTGACTTGAGTTTTAGAGTTTGGTTTGCTGGTCCTGCTATATCTCTAGAATTAAGTTCTACGTTTTCTTTTCAAAGGGTTTCTATATAGAAAGAGACGGAGATGGCTTCAGAGTCTTTTTAGCCTAAATTTGAAACGAGATCTATTCCTAAACATATATATATATTTCATATATCGTATATATCTATTTAAGCTTTCGCTTTTTTTTTGCTGATTATGCAATCGATTTATTCAGAAAAATGTTCGATAAATTAAAAACTTATCCAGCGATAAAACAAAATATTATTTTAGGGTTACCTTGGGCACAATTTATTATAATTTTTTAACAAATCATAGATGTTTAGTTAGCTAGTTTTTAATTATTTGTTTAATCTTGATTACATTACCTACTTGATATATAGAATTTGATTCAATATGATTGAGGTTTGTGATGTGAAAGTGAGCTTTTGATGTGCCTTGTGTGTATTTTTTACTTTATGTATTTTTATTTTTTTTAGCCTACGATAAAATTAGCACCAATGCAGGAGATAATAGTTGGAATATTTGGAAAAAATGTTGCCAAGATATGTGTAATTTACTACAGTTTCCAAAAATCGCGATTTTCTAATGAATTTTCTTTTTATTTCTAAACCTTTTTTTTTGTTAATATTTTTTCTAATGTGATATGCGAAAAAATGTGATGTAGTGAGGTGAGTTTTAATTGAAAACAAAAATCGAAATATTTCAATTTTCTGATTAACTTAACTTAAAAAAAAAACCATTTACTTAATTTTCTATCAGAAGTTTCCTTCGTTTAGTTAGTTAATCACTAATCAACAAGTTTTTTTTTGATCCAATACACAGAGCTATATACCCTTATGTACAATATTTGCTTACATGGATTTCTATGTCCTTAAATATACATATATTTATATGTTTTTTTTTAATATTTAATTTTTTATAGAGTCTTAGAAGCTAGAGACTGTCTTATACGTTTGCTTGATGAGTTTCTTCTGGTTTCTTGGTGTTGCTTAATTTTTATTTCTATTTATTATTTAATTATATATTTTTCTGCTGGCTCTATCGATTCGGTATCGGATTCGGATCACATTGAAAGTATTCGAAAATGTTTTTGAAATTGCTTTTTGGGGCATTTTTTGTTTTTGTCTTTTAAATATATATATTTTTTCATTTAAAACATTATCATTTCGCATTTTGAAATTATTATTATTGTTCCTATATAAGTCTGAGGGGATATAAGTGAAAACCTATGACTTTTTGCTTCTTTCTTTAAAAAAAAATTTAAACAATAACTAACTGCAAAATCGCCTTGCTTTTAGTTTATTACACTGTAATAATTTTTGTTTAGTTTTGTTTTTCATTTGAGAGTTTCTACGTGCTTTAGGAGCAACAACAAAAATTAAGGTTATTGATTATCCAACTCTGGCTATTGTTTTATTTGGAGTTATAAATTCAAAAAGCTATTGCCCAGAAATCCGAACATTATGGTGGAAACGGCCAGCGGTGTCGCGAGTCGCACATTCGAGGCTGTACTGTTGCCGGCCAATATTTCCGCTCTCTTCCGCATGCGTTCCTATTAATTAAGAATTTATTTTAAATATTCATTTAGTACATTTTAGTATTTTTTATTAAAACTATAAATACCTGATACAATTTATCTTCGCCGGGCGGATCCAGGCACTCGAATTCGCAGCAACGCTCGCCAACCCGGAAGTTTTTGCAAAACTATTTAATGAAATTGTTAAATATTAATAATAAATTAAACTTATTTTTATGGAAAAATTAATAAAGGATTTTTAAGTTTTAATTTAGTTTAACACTACGAATGCCTTTCGTCACTTACGTAAACAACTGTCTACAGTGGAACAAACACCTTTTCTCTTGTTTTAACTAACTACACTATTTTTTTTTTTAAATTAATTCTTATAAAATATAGTTTTAGAATATATTAGGATATGGTATAACTTACATAGGGCGGATCACAGTAGATGGCCTTGCACCAGAGTGGCTCGGAGTGGTAACAAACACACAGGCTACAGACCCCGGGACCTGGAACATAGAGCATTCCGTGGTTCACCTTGTTGCCCTGAAAGTCAACGCAATCCTCCTCCAGAGCAGCTGCAAAACCGATCGAATAACATAATCACTTTTTTGAAAAATATATAAATATATGTATTTATTTATATAAATATCAAGTCGATGCTCCACTTTAATCCGGCTAGTCCGGCGCTTGATCCCTATCAAATCGTATGACTTTTGGGGTCAAACCGAATCAAAATCTAGTCTAGAGCCAGATAATACGTGTTCAGCTTGGTTGTATCACCCAAGGTTAGATTTTTGATTCAGACTCTCTTGAACTATATATTTTTTTTATTCTGTTAGTTTTAATGAATGAAATTTTGAATTCAACCTGAAAAGGAAAACAATTATGTTTTAAATTATATTTTAAGAAGCCAAAAGTATCTTTGAATCTGTAAGATATATGGGGTCAGTGGGAAGTGTTTCAAAAGCTTTTCAAGAAAGCTCTACAACCTAACGGCACACAAAAATGTTGCAAGTGACGTAGGTTGCAGGTTCGAAGGAGGCACATCCACATCCGAACGGATACGGACACGAAATACGGATGCGGTTTGGGTGCGAGCTTTAATGGGTCGCGTGCTGCACGCCAAGAAATAGAAATACTAGAAATACTAGAAAAAAAACCGGAATTAGACACCAAGAATTAAAGAAAAATATAAAAAAAAAACTTATGAGCTTAATAAATAATTGGAAACCATAAAGAAATCAATAATTAAAATTATTTTAATATATTCAAAAGTAAAGTAATGAAACAATAATCTTTTAAAATCAACTAATATTATCTGTACTTTCTGAATTGAATAAAGAGTTGGGAATTATAAATACATTTTGAGAGAAAACAGATTAAAAAAACATATTTGTTCGAAAAAATTAGAAAAAAAGGGAACTAAAGAACTTGAAACATTACTTAAAATATTACAAATGAATTAAAATATAATTTTTATAAAAATTTTATTCCAAAATCGTTTAAATAACTATATCTTTCTCTCAGTGCATTTTAGGCACATTACTTTCGTCGCCTTTCTTTTGAAGTTTTTTTTTCTTTTAGCCAAAAAAAAAAAGGAGAAAAAAAACGGCTGACAGTGTAAAAGTGGGCGCGGCGCCATTTGGGCGGATGCTGCAGTTGTTTGTCCACTTTGTTTGTTTGCTTTTCCTTGCAACGCCTTAACCCCCGACACTCTATCTCCCCCCCGTCACTCCACCCCCGTTAAAGCCACCTCCTTTGTCCATTTTTCCATTTTCCATGTCGCCATGTCTCTCTGGCTTTTCCGCCATTTCCCCACGATTTTCCGCCATTGCGGTTATTATTCGCACGTGCACGTGCTTTTCGTGTGCCGGTTTTCGCCTCAACTCCCCCTCTGCTCTCTCTCTCTCTCTCTGCCTTTTCTCTACTACTTTCTCTACTTTCTAGTCTGTCTGCACTCCTCACTCCCCCTCCCTATTTTGGCTTCTTGAGTTCTTAGCCTTCTTGCTGCATTTTCTTTTTTTTTTTTAAGATCGCTGAATAATTAAAAGCAAGCGTTCAACTTTCGTGCGCCAGCTGTCGCCCAAACAATTTAGCTCTGTCCTGGGTCAAAGTTTAGCAGGCCACGCCTCCGTTCTCTGCCCTCCTCTGTGGCACCTGCCTTGCCGTCGCTTTTCTCACGGCCCTCACCTCAGACCTACCCCTCAGGCTGCCTCCATCTCCCTTCTCTTTCCAATTTAACGTTCGTCCTTCCCTACACTGTAATTTATTTTTGATATTTATCTCTGATAATGAAATTCTAATAATTTCTTATTCTACTTTTTGCTATTTCTAATATTTTATTTTTTAATTTAAATAAAATTTATCGGTTTCTTTAATTTCTCTCTGTGTAAATTGCATTTCATAGCCTCAGCCTCTGAAGAAGAGGTCGCATTATTTTACAATTATGTTTATTACTTTTTAATGCCCGGCGCTTTTCATTTCCACCTGAACCGAGTTTGGACTGACATGGGTGGCGGCCCAAAAGGGGGCAGGGATCGGCAGTAGGAGGTTTTTTCATTTTCAAAGGGGGGGGGGACGGCTGGGAGGCTGGGGTCTAAGGAAGTTTCATTTCCAGGGCCACAGCTCACTTATAAATAGCTTTTGTTGTGACATTTCACAAGGTGCCTGCCTGCCTCTCTCCACTTCCTCACTTTGGTAAAAAATTAAAAATAAAAATGGAGAATATATCATTTATTTTTAAGCTTGTTAACTCAACTGAAAGGAATTTAAATTTATAAATAAAATGCCAACGAAATCAATTTTGGAACCAAAATTCCCATATCCTTTGTTCTACATATTTTCAGATGAAAATCAATTTTAAATTAAATTGAAATCAATTGAAAAAGTTGAACAAAATCACTTAATTAGGGTTGCAAGTTAATTAAAGAGAATGAGGTCTCTATAGCCAACAATTTATTCTCAATGGCCATTCAATTCGGTTTTTAATTTAGGAAAATACTCGTATATTTTGGCCTTTTGATTGCAATTTTATGTCATTTATTCTGCCATTCTATTTTTGTTTTTTGCCACAAAGGTTAAAAATAGTTTGAATCGGCAATGATTTCTTTGAAAATCTCACCCCTTACTACCTTGATGACCTTTTGGGAATTGAATTTCATAAAACTCATCACATCCATTTATCATATCGATTATTAATTGAGGTCTAAAAAATATACAAAGGTCCTTGATTAACTTGACATTTGAGTTTCCATTTCATTTTTTTTTTTGCGGAAGAGCAGGAAGTATGAAATATTAAATAATATGCATTGCCAATGTTGCAGCCTTGTTTCGAAACAGTTCATAAATGCTTAAGCATGGAAAAGCATGCGGGAAGTACGTAGGAAAACTGGCAGGGTCACGGCAGCACCGTTGAGTGAGTGCAGCCATCAAGTTTTCCACTTTTGCTGCCTGCTTTTGTGGCTCTCTTTCGCCACTCTATCCCTGAGCTACTTGTGTTTTCATACACTGAGAGAAAATACTGAGGGGTGTCACAATTAAATAGATGGAGCATTGAATATAAAAGATTTAAGCACTCTTTTGAGATAAGTCTGACAAAATATATATTTAAACCTATGAAGTGTTCATTAAGCTCCCATTTTTTTCTAATTATTCAATTATTTTTGGTTTAATTCTAGGTGTATGACTAACGGAAGCAAAGATTATAAAACCATTTTGAAAGCTTTGGTCGCCACTTTCACCTGCCTTTCACTTTTGTCACCTGCTCTTAGGCTCTTTCTTCTATTTCTATGTGACAACGTGTCGTATGCGTAATGTAAGCTAAAGACTTGAGAACGTGTGCGGCTTAGTAATTAGAAAAGGCCAGGAAAATTCTATAAATTTTAAAGCATGTTTGAGTTAATGTTTTTTTTTAAGAAAAGGTTTTCTCGTGTTTTTTTTAAGAGGTTTCCTAAAAAAATCATAACAGATAGCTGGCAATTTTGAAGCCAGTTTGAACAGTACAAAAAAAGGTACTTTTATTTGACTTTTCCTTTTCCTTAATTATTAATTAAAGTAAAATAGGAAAATAAAGCCAGCTGCATAACTCCTTATAGAGTTAAATGCTAAATGCCCCTAATATTTAAAAACACTTTTCTGGCTGTTAGCCTGGCCCACAGCTATTGTACTTTGAGGGCAAAAAAAAATGGGGTTAACAAGCGGGTAATGAGGGGCATGGCTTGGCAAATGCCCTTGTGGTGATTTGATTGACCGTAATCACCGCCTGCCGCCTGCCGCCGTCACCACCCACCGCCTGTCACCACACTTGCCACTCAACGGTCGATGGATTGCACCACCGCCTCTTCAAAAAAAGAGGATAAATAGAAAAAAAAAAGACCAAACAGCAGGCAGGCACACTGTAATTAGCTAAAACGCAACGTTTTGGCCATCGATCGGCGCACTTTATGTAAGCCGTGTTCTTAGCTTGTGGCTTTAACCCTCTAAAGCCCTTTGTGCAATTAATTAACCCCACTATAGTCACCAAGATTGATGACGAGAGGAGGCCCTCTACACACACATATCGTTCGATATTCATCTCAAGAGTTGTATCATCTGCCTCATTCAAGTTCACACTTTACATGTTCCACTTTTGTTCCGCTATTCCACTATTCTTCTATTCTTATACACTCTATTCATCTATTGTGCTTTGTGTTCTAACAAATTCAAATTTGAAAAGGGGGGCCTGGGGGGCTGGTGGATGGTCGGTCGGGTTTATGGGACGTTGCATGTGCAAAGTCAAGGTTGTTGCCAACTTACTAACAAACTCAAACTGCTCAATAGAAAATTTACACCCAGAGAAAATAGTAAGTAGTTTTTTTTAAAAGGAATATAAATAATTAAATAGGTGGAATATAGTTGAGAAATTTTTGTCCAAGTATATTCTTTAAAACTATAACTTTTCTAGTATTTTTTTCAACTACGTAGTGCTGAAAGTTTAGGAAATAAAAAAAACCTTAAAAATTTGAATAAAAATCCCCTTAAACAATATTTTTGCCAGTGCATTTTAACCCTATTTCTTTTCTGTAACAATCTCAAGACTTTTCTCATTCCTTTAGGCCATTGTTTATGACTCGACGACTCCAACTGGCACATAAAAGCAAAACAGAATCATCAAATTTGATTGAGTAGCAAGGCAAGGTAATGTGAGCGAAGTACAGTAAAACACCCCCACTAACAATCCTTTCATACATTTCTTTTAGTCTATAAATCGTTTGGGGGATTTTCTTGGTTAGACTTGCCTATAATAGTCAGATTTATGACCGACTCACCGGCGCCTTTTTCAATGGAGTGTGGGCTTCCTACTTTTCCTGCAACCTTCGATGTATGCAAATTGCGCAAAAAAAAAAAGAAAAAGAATAATATTAGAGCCCCGGACAGGCTGACATTGTTATGGGAAAATTTCTGACAGTTTCGGTGAGTGCTTATATCCATGTGTGTGTGTGTGTGTGTGGCAGAAAATTAATTTTCCGTCAAAGGTAATGGAACGCAAATGTTATTCTGGATAATCGCGTCATTCGATGGCATTATAACTGATTCGATTAAGGGGATGACAGCAAACTAAAAAAGGAAAAGTGATTGGTAAGAGCAGCAATAGATGGCTAACGATGAGATGCAAATGAATGGCAATCATGGGGGCTAATAGCAATTAGAGTGGACCTCCTTGAAATGGGAAGTAATTACAGTAGAGTACTTCATTTAAGAGGCCTACAAGGTTATCTATAAATTATATAATTGCAAGCTCTGTTCTAATTTTTATTATTTTTCTATTTAATATTTATTTGTACAATTTTTTTCCCCTATATTTCTTCCTTTTAAAATAAATTATCTAATTTCTACGACATCCAACATGTCGTATACGTAATATTGTCTCTGCCTATAACTCATACGCCCTGTTGTCTAAGTGTTTCTTACAAATATTAGCAAGAGCCTTACTTATGATTTATTATAAGTTAAAATCATCATATCCCCTTTTACTTAAAGCTAGCCTATGGGGCGTATGAGTAATTATTTTCCTATATATTACTCATACGCACTGTTGCCACTATTTTAAATTGAAAATTATATAAAATTTAGAAATATTTAGAAGGTTCACCCAAAAAAAAAACAAGAAAAACAATTTACAATTTCCTTTTGGCCAATTTAGATTCAGAGTTTTTCTTTTTCGGTTTTGGCCCATTTGAGATTTGTTGGCTTTATGGTTTTTGGGCAAGAATCGAATGCTAATTACCTGAATAGGGCCAGAGGCAGCCCAGAAGGCAGAGGACCAACAGCAGCCGGGCGACATCGGACGTCATCGTTGTTGGCAGCCACGCCCCCGGCCTTAGGCCATTTGTGACGCCCGTTTTCGAAAGGCACTGCAAGTGGGCCAGAAGTGTGCAGAATCGTTGACGTCGCCATGTCGTGTCGTTTCCATTGATTGTTGTTGCAACATCAGTTCTTAATGTTTTTGTTGCTGTTGTGTCTTGTTGTGTTGCAATTGTTATTACTTGTTGTTGTTGTTGTTGTTGTTGTATTTTGATTGGTGTTGGTAAGATTGTTGTCGTTGCAGCCGCTGTTGTTATTTTTGTTGGGTTTTTGGGGCGCCACTTTGCTGCTTTTGTCATTGTCAGGCGTTGATTTTGAACTTGGCGGCGGCGACAACAATTGTGGGAGCTTCAAAATTGCCACAAAAATATATATATATATATATATATATATCTGTATATCTATCTGTTTATATATATTGCTTATACTTGAGCTTTTTTTCTTTCAGTGCTCTTTGCTGCTGTTGCCACTTCTTCGCGTTCTCTGTCCTTGCACTATTGGTTGGCATAAGAGTGTGGCTTCGTATTTAGAAAGGTAATAGATTATTGGAAATATTATTAGTATTATTTTCAATAGATCTTTTTTTATTAAATTCTGAGAATATATAGAAGATTTTAAGATGTTCGAATTACTCAATACTTAGGTTTTCTTTCAAGATATTAAAGGGTTTTTAAACCATTGTTGTTGCATTTTAATAAATTTCAATTTCAATAAATTTAAGCTTTTAACAAGTTACATATTTTATACTGAAGATTAATTATATATCAAGATTTAAAATCAATAACAGAACATTTTCAAGACAATTTCTTTAATAAAAGTAAGTCATATTTTCATGATTTATATTTTAAATTTGAGAAAAATACTTATATGTGTTTAATTAACTGAATATTTATTTTCTTTTAATTTCTTTATAGTATTATTTTACTTTTTATTATTTTTAAAACCTTAAGTAATTCTTGAATGGTCCTTAAGGATCAAAGTGTAACCAAACCCTCTGTGGTTTTGTAGGAAAAGTTTTAAGAGAATTTTTGTCGACAGATAGTTTTATTTTTTTGGCAGCACCTCTCCTCCTATATGTGTGTGTGTGTGTGTTTATTTTACTGTTATTTTATTTTAAAGGGGGTGGGTGGGAATCAGCTGCTTGGCGATTCCGTGTTTGGCATTCGAAACGCTTGTTTACAACAGATACGTTGTAGTTTCTGCATTTCTTTTTGGCCAGATTGTCTTGCAGATGCGGATGAGCAGATTTTTGGCTCAAAGCAGTTGCCAAAAAAGCACACACAAGCAAAGCAAACACACACACGCACTCACACCCACACATAGCAGGGGTGCTGTCTTTAATTTGAATTTTGTAAATTATTGGCCAAAAGTTGGACCAAGTTGGAATTTCCCTTTTATGCCGCTTTATGGATTTTCCTTTTCAAACACACACACACAAGCAAAGTCTCACACAAACAAACAAAAACACACACACACACAGACACAGCCAGATGTAAAGGGCACACGCATACGCGCATTGATTTTCCCTAGGATTCCTTTACCGTTTTTCCTATAATTTTGTTGTATTTTTTTTGGCTTTATTTTGTCATTCAAGGCTCTCTTGCTACTTACAACTTCACGTAAAATGTTGAACTTTTTTTTGACACCAACCAGCAAAAAAAAATGGTAGTTACTTTCACACGCAAGCACTAGATATACTTGAAAATAAAATAATAATAACAAAAAAAAAAAGAAAACCAAGGAAAAACCAAACAAAAACACACAGAAATTACACCGAACACGTTGCCGTTAAAATTCAAAGCAGAAACTTTTTGGGTGATTTTCCCCAAACACTCTCTCTTTGTGCCACTCACGCTCTCTGCCTCTTACTTTGGGTCACTCTCGCTCTGTGTCCTTTGTCCTTTTTACTTCAGAATTTTATTTCAATTTTTTTTTTCTTTTTTTTTTGGTCGAACATCACCAATGTTTGCTTTCTGCTGTTTGTTGTTGACTTTTCTGCTGCTGCAGCAGATTGCAAGTAACACCAACACCAACAACAACAAACGAAAAGGACAAAGATAGAACTTGCTTGCAACCAACAACAACAACAACAAAAAAAAGAGGAAATGTAAACAAACCCGAAAGGATCTCAGTCTAAGTCCGTTTATAGATTGCAGTTCTGGGCTTTTTTGTATGTTTTTTGTTTTTTTGTTTGTTCGGTTACTACTGCCGCTTCCGATTTCGTTTCCGATCCGGGTCCGGATCATCCGAGAGTCGAGAGCCAACTGTCGCGGCTGAGGCTGTGTTGCAACTGATTTTCTTGCGGAATGTTTCGGCGCAACAGCAATATTAACGGCCACATTGCCGCACAACGTGTTGCAAGCTTTGGCTCGAAACGCAAACTTTCTAACTGTAAACTTAAAAGCTTGGGGAAAGCTCAGAGGTTCTATGCTCAGATCCTGGCATTAAAAAACTTTAATGCAGTAAAGCCACCCAAAGCTTTTAATTAAAAACAAGAAAGCAAAGCTAACTTCGGGCGGAGCCGAAGTTTATATACCCTTGCAGCTATAACCGGATATATATCGCAAACATCGGATATAGTTGGCCGATCCTTATGATTACATCATAATAAAACCAATTAATTACAATAAAGAATCTAAAAAAAAGTCCCAAGCTTCTATCTTCAAAAATTCGAAAGTTGATATTTCTACCAAATACCATTTCCGATCGTTCAGTTATATGTCAGCTATAAGATATAGTCAACCGATCGTTATGAAATTTGGTAGATCGGATTGACTGACCAAAAATAGAATGTGTACCAAGTGCCAGCTTTCTATCTTCAAAAACACGAATGTTGGGTCATTTCCGATCGTTCAGTTATATGGCAGCTATAGGATATAGTCGGCCGATCCTAATGAAATTTTGTAGGTCGGATTAACTGGCCAAAAATATAATCTGTACCAAGTTCCAGCTTTCTATCTTCAAAAACACGAAAGTTGGGTCATTTCCGATCGTTCAGTTATATGGCAGCTATAAGATATAGTCGGCCGATCCTTATGAAATTTGGCATGTCGTATTATTTTGCCAAAAATAGCTCTCATGTCAAATTTGAACTCTCTAACTCTAAAAACACCAAAGTTATACCATTTCCGATCAATCAGTTATATGGCAGCTATAGGATATAGTCGGCCGATCCCGGCCGTTCCGACTTATATACTGCGTGCAAAGGAAAGAAGGGTGTGTGCAAAGTTTCAAGACGATAGCTTTAAAACTGAGAGACTAGTTTGCGTAGAAACAGACAGACGGACAGACGGACAGACGGACAGACGGACATGCTCATATCAACTCAGGAGGTGATCCTGATCAAGAATATATATACTTTATAGGGTCGGAGATGTCTCCTTCACTGCGTTGCACACTTTTGGACAAAATTATAATACCCTCTGCAAGGGTATAAAACGTTAAAATATATATTTATAAATTAAAAGCCCTATTAAAGCTTATCTAGCATAAGAATGTTCCTTTGATGCTGAAAAAGCTCTCAGACCAAGGGGCGTATACGTGATCTTCTTTCATCGTTCAGCGAAATCGTTAATTTTTACAGCGGTACCCCTAGGAAAAAATTGGAAACATTTTAAAATCATATTTCAGCAATGTTTTAAATGAAAAAAGTTCCTTCTGGGTTTACTGATTACAAAATGGTACTTTATTTTGAGATCGGATACAAATTGGCAGAGCTATGGACATCGGAAGGGGCAAAAATGGAGAAATTTTTAGCGAAAAGTTATTTTTAAATTTTAAAAAAACTTTTGATGCAGAATGAAATCGAGCCAAAATTTTTTTTTGAGGATTTTAGGAATCCTTGGATGCAGATCGACGGCGAAAGGATCCCTGATTCCTAAATGGCATCCCTTTTTAGGATCCTCTGCGAAATAGTCAAGATATTCGCCAAAAACTGAGGAAAACCCGAATTCCCACTTTTCCAAGGGGAACCCCTAGGATTTTTGCGAAAAATCGAGCCAAAATTTTTTTTTGAGGATTTTAGGAATATTTGGATGCAGATCGACGGCGAAAGGATCCCTGATTCCTAAATGGCATCCCTTTTAGGATCCTCTGCGAAATTGCCAAGATATTCGCCAAAAACTGAGGAAAACCCGAATTCGCACTTTTCCAAGGGGAACCCCTAGGATTTTTGCCAAAAATCGGGGCAAAATTTTTTTTTGAGGATTTTAGGAATCTTTGGATGCAGATCGACGGCGAAAGGATCCCTGATTCCTAAATGGCATCCCTTTTTAGGATCCTCTGCGAAATAGCCAAGATATTCGCCAAAAACTGAGGAAAACCCGAATTCCCACTTTTCCAAGGGGAACCCCTAGGATTTTTGCGAAAAATCGAGCAAAAATTTTTTTTTGAGGATTTTAGGAATATTTGGATGCAGATCGACGGCGAAAGGATCCCTGATTCCTAAATGGCATCCCTTTTTAGGATCCTCTGCGAAATTGCCAAGATATTCGCCAAAAACTGAGGAAAACCCGAATTCGCACTTTTCCAAGGGGAACCCCTAGGATTTTTGCCAAAAATAGGGGCAAAATTTTTTTTTGAGGATTTTAGGAATCCTTGGATGCAGATCGACGGCGAAAGGATCCCTGATTCCTAAATGGCATCCCTTTTAGGATCCTCTGCGAAATAGCCAAGATATTCGCCAAAAACTGAGGAAAACCCGAATTCGCACTTTTCCAAGGGGAACCCCTAGGATTTTTGCCAAAAATCGGGGCAAAACTTTTTTTTGAGGATTTTAGGAATCCTTGGATGCAGATCGACGGCGAAAGGATCCCTGATTCCTAAATGGCATCCCTTTTTAGGATCCTCTGCGAAATAGCCAAGATATTCGCCAAAAACTGAGGAACACCCGAATTCGCACTTTTCCAAGGGGAACCCCTAGGATTTTTGCCAAAAATCGGGGCAAAATTTTTTTTGGAGGATTTTAGGAATCTTTGGATGCAGATCGACGGCGAAAGGATCCCTGATTCCTAAATGGCATCCCTTTTTAGGATCCTCTGCGAAATTGCCAAGATATTCGCCAAAAACTGAGGAAAACCCGAATTCGCACTTTTCCAAGGGGAACCCCTAGGATTTTTGCCAAAAATCGAGCCAAAATTTTTTTTTGAGGATTTTAGGAATCCTTGGATGCAGATCGACGGCGAAAGGATCCCTGATTCCTAAATGGCATCCCTTTTAGGATCCTCTGCGAAATAGCCAAGATATTCGCCAAAAACTGAGGAAAACCCGAATTCCCACTTTTCCAAGGGGAACCCCTAGGATTTTTGCCAAAAATCGAGCCAAAATTTTTTTTTGAGGATTTTAGGAATATTTGGATGCAGATCGACGGCGAAAGGATCCCTGATTCCTTAATGGCATCCCTTTTCACGATCCGATGCAAAATAGTCAAGATATTCGCCAAAAACTGAGGAAAACCCGAATTCGCACTTTTCCAAGGGGAACCCCTAGGATTTTTGCCAAAAATCGGGGCAAAACTTTTTTTTGAGGATTTTAGGAATCTTTGGATGCAGATCGACGGCGAAAGGATCCCTGATTCCTAAATGGCATCCCTTTTTAGGATCCTCTGCGAAATTGCCAAGATATTCGCCAAAAACTGAGGAAAACCCGAATTCGCACTTTTCCAAGGGGAACCCCTAGGATTTTTGCCAAAAATCGAGCCAAAATTTTTTTTGAGGATTTTAGGAATCCTTGGATGCAGATCGACGGCGAAAGGATCCCTGATTCCTAAATGGCATCCCTTTTTAGGATCCTCTGCGAAATAGCCAAGATATTCGCCAAAAACTGAGGAAAACCCGAATTCCCACTTTTCCCAGGGGAACCCCTAGGATTTTCATGAAAAATCGAGCCAAAATTTTTTTTGAGGATTTTAGGAATATTTGGATGCAGATCGACGGCGAAAGGATCCCTGATTCCTAAATGGCATCCCTTTTTAGGATCCTCTGCGAAATAGCCAAGATATTCGCCAAAAACTGAGGAAAACCCGAATTCCCACTTTTCCAAGGGGAACCCCTAGGATTTTTGCGAAAAATCGAGCCAAAATTTTTTTTTGAGGATTTTAGGAATATTTGGATGCAGATCGACGGCGAAAGGATCCCTGATTCCTAAATGGCATCCCTTTTTAGGATCCTCTGCGAAATTGCCAAGATATTCGCCAAAAACTGAGGAAAACCCGAATTCGCACTTTTCCAAGGGGAACCCCTAGGATTTTTGCCAAAAATCGAGCCAAAATTTTTTTTTGAGGATTTTAGGAATCCTTGGATGCAGATCGACGGCGAAAGGATCCCTGATTCCTAAATGGCATCCCTTTTAGGATCCTCTGCGAAATAGCCAAGATATTCGCCAAAAACTGAGGAAAACCCGAATTCCCACTTTTCCAAGGGGAACCCCTAGGATTTTTGCGAAAAATCGAGCCAAAATTTTTTTTTGAGGATTTTAGGAATATTTGGATGCAGATCGACGGCGAAAGGATCCCTGATTCCTAAATGGCATCCCTTTTTAGGATCCTCTGCGAAATTGCCAAGATATTCGCCAAAAACTGAGGAAAACCCGAATTCGCACTTTTCCAAGGGGAACCCCTAGGATTTTTGCCAAAAATCGAGCCAAAATTTTTTTTTGAGGATTTTAGGAATCCTTGGATGCAGATCGACGGCGAAAGGATCCCTGATTCCTAAATGGCATCCCTTTTTAGGATCCTCTGCGAAATAGCCAAGATATTCGCCAAAAACTGAGGAAAACCCGAATTCCCACTTTTCCAAGGGGAACCCCTAGGATTTTTGCGAAAAATCGAGCCAAAATTTTTTTTTGAGGATTTTAGGAATCCTTGGATGCAGATCGACGGCGAAAGGATCCCTGATTCCTAAATGGCATCCCTTTTAGGATCCTCTGCGAAATTGCCAAGATATTCGCCAAAAACTGAGGAAAACCCGAATTCGCACTTTTCCAAGGGGAACCCCTAGGATTTTTGCCAAAAATAGGGGCAAAATTTTTTTTGAGGATTTTAGGAATCCTTGGATGCAGATCGACGGCGAAAGGATCCCTGATTCCTAAATGGCATCCCTTTTAGGATCCTCTGCGAAATTGCCAAGATATTCGCCAAAAACTGAGGAAAACCCGAATTCGCACTTTTCCAAGGGGAACCCCTAGGATTTTTGCGAAAAATCGAGCCAAAATTTTTTTTGAGGATTTTAGGAATATTTGGATGCAGATCGACGGCGAAAGGATCCCTGATTCCTAAATG